TCCCTTCCAACCCTGATATTCTATGATTCTATGATTCTAAAGCCCACCAGGGCATGTCTGGGATGGACTAAGGATATAAAATAGGGGATAGTGGCTTGGCCTTTCTCCTCCCCCACCTACGCTGGAACCAACAAGAATACTGAGAAGACAGAAAACTTCAACAGAGGAGACTGGTCCAGGCTTAAGGGAGAAGCCTGTGTATTATGAACTGTTACAGCCAGAGGGGTAAGAAAGCTGCTTGATCTAAATACTCAGGGGCAATGAGTTATATGGGCCTGTGGTGCCCGGGCTCCAGCAAATTCAGTGACTATTAAATTGTCATCTACATACTGAACTATTTTTCCCGTTTGTAACAGTCCCTCTGTCTCTAACATATTTCTCACTATAGTATGAAATATTGTGGGTGAGTCACAGTATCCCTAAAGCAAATCTGGTCTTTTAGTGAAACAGAACTCCACATAACAGAACAGCTGTACTGATATAAACACCTTTGTAGAGGTATAACTGCCTCTGTGCTAGTGGGTGGTTAATCAAATTGGTTTAAAAAGACACCTTTAGTTAAACAGGTGCAAACGCTTATGTGGCCAAGCCCCAGCATTTACAGTTGTGGTGATTAATGTATTAATTTACAGTTAATGAACTTGAGTTAAAACAAGACCCAAAACTCTTCTGGACAAACCAAATGGCAAATCGTTCCCTGTCTCACCATCCAGGGGACTCCAGGTGCAGACTCTGCCCCACTGGCTGGCTGTCATACAGGGGAAACAGCTACTGGGTTTGTGAAGACTACACGGGGAAGACTGGGAGCCATGCAATGGCTTGGCAAAGAGGACTCAAGCCCTAGGGATCCAGGACATGTATGAAATGGTGATGTGAAATGTGGCAGGTGAGAACTTCAGCTGCAGAGAGACCTGGTCTTTCCTGGAAGGCAGAACAGAGGAGTAGCAGTGGCTGGGGAACCTCAAATACCTTCCCTGACTGCAGGAAGCCCCCATTCCTGCTGGGGAGGGGGAGACAGCCACCAGGCAGCTTCAGAGCAGATATTTGTCTGCCCATGTCCTCTCCACTTGCCATGCAATTATCCTGCAGCTATGAATACAGTGCATGCCAGAAGTCAGCCACCTGTGTGCCTAGGAGCATAGCAATGGCAGTGACAGCCTACTTGCCCAAGAACACTATCACATAGGATAAGTACGCAGAGACATGAAGACAGGAGATAGTGGTGTGGAAAGGGTTCTGAATTGAATAATGAGGTAAAAGTTTACATTTGGTGTTATTTTCTCCGGACGGTCAATTACACAATCATGGCCATGTGACAAGGTGCTGTTAGAAGCTACAAAGAGAGCCCTTTGGAAGCCAGCACCCTGGTCACTGACCACACCCAGGAAACCGGGTGCAGTTAGAGGAGAAGGCACTGAGTAGTTTGGGTCTGGAAGGTGTGACGGTATCTAAATGAACTATGACTGTATACATCATTATTGCAACCACTGTCATATAGTTGCAACAAATCTTGTACAAAGATGGTCAAGTAAGATATCTATGAAAAGGTTGTAGTTTGCTGATTGTGATTAAACTACTTGTATGGGTGTAGCATTTATGTATTTGAAGTTATGAGTATTGGCTATGTATTTGTATTTCAATGTGTTTGATTCTAAGCAGCACCAGTGAAGCATTTGGCCAGCTCATTGAGAAGGGACTATCCAGATTAAGTGCCCCAACAAGAAACACTTAACTGACAATGGACCCTGTGAGACTCCAATCCACATCTGATGAGCCTTCCTGGGAATGTTCAAAGTAGCATGTGAGCAATGGCTGTCACCTGCAAAGAACTGAATCATGCATGGAGATGTGAACTTGCCCATGTGACTCCAAACTCCATCTTCTGCTGTGATTTTCCACAGTAAGAACAATGGGGATCTTCCACATGGTAGAGGATATAAAAAGGCCCTGGAAGCCCCTCCATTTTGTCTTCAAACCGGCTTCTGATCTCTGGAGGAACTTTGCTCTAAACTGAAGCTCTAAACAAAGGACTGAAGGACCCATCCAAATCTGTGGATGTACTCCAGAAACTTGATTTGAGCCAGCAGTTTATTCCATCACTGCTATAAGCCTGAACCAGGAACTTTTCAATTGTTGTATGTATTTGATTCCTTTAACCAAGTTTAACTCTCATCTATATTTCTTTCTTTTTATGAATAAACTGTTAGATTTTAGATCCTAAATGATTGGTGAAATTGTTATTTTGGGGTAAGATCTGATTTGTATATTGACCTGGGTTTTGTGGCTGGTCCTTTGGGATCAGGAGAACCTTTAATTGGGGAAACCGGTTTTCATAATCAGTCATGCCTATAAGGAGTGCTACTGGTGGTACAAGGGAACTGGGGTACCTGAGGGAATTCTTTGTATGACTTCTGGTTAGCCAGTGGGGTGAAACCGAAGTCCTCTCTGTTTGGCTGGTTTGATGTGCCTTAGAGGTGGAGAACCACCAGCCTGAGGCTGTGACTGCCCTATTTCTCAGGAAATTGCCCTGAATTGGTACTCTCAGTAGTGTCCCACGAGAGCACCCCTTGTTACAGAAGGATAGAGGGGATCACTTGCACCTGTAGGGAGCCTGATGAGGTCACTAGCTCAGCGCTGAGAAGAAAGCAGCAGTATAAAAGGCTGAACCAGGGAGCAGGAAGGGGGGTCCTTGTAACTGTTGCTATGCTGTGATGCACCATAAAAGGTAATAAAGACACTTGGTGGAGGTTCCCTGGCAGACTGGAGGCTGCTTAATTCATACAGAGGTCTGCCAGCCCAGGGTTGCAGGAACTGATGGGGGAGCCCATTCATAGTTAGACATTTAAAAATGAACATTGCCTGCAATCTCTTCATGACATTTCATGCTGTAAATTGTTAGTGACAACACATTTTTATGTCTTGTCAGATAGTAAAAACCATGTTGTATATTAACCTGTTCGCCAACATATTTTCCCACGTAATAACACAATGAGATTGGATAAGAAGCCATAGTAATTACACATAATTCAGTAAGAAATAGGGAAAGGAACGCAGATATTTCTGAAGGAAATTTTAAGGAACAATTATCTATTTTTAGATTAACATTTCCCTGTGTTAAAAACTAAGAAAAACACATAACTTCAGCAGCCCATGCCACCTAGACACTAGCAGACTGGATAAAAACACAAATGAATCCATCAAAAGATAACTTTAGGGTATTTATTTTCAAATAATCAAAGTAAGTTTAGGGCACTCTGACATAAATGGCATATTATGAATAAATTTTCAAAACTGAATTATTACATTGAAAATGTTCATAACGCATCACGTTTAAAACAAAAAGTAGTCCAAGCAATGCCATGTGATGTAATAGTCCCCCTCATACTCTGCTCAGCTAGCTCTTGAAGAAATTAGGTTCAATGGCTAATTTGAAGGAATTAGGCCAATCAGTCACTATTTTTACAGAGCATTCCTGAAGGTGGTAGACAGAACCCAGAGGAACTGAGATGAATTTCCTGGAGCAACTTTATTTCTTTGTACTCTAAACCTCACATAACAACAAAAATATCACCCTTTCAACTGATTTAGGGCCGAGAAGAAAGGTTTCCTAATAAAGCATCACCAAATTTCAAGTTATATGTCATCAAGTGCCAGTGTCTTTAATACAATTAACTTAATTTATGATGATTCAATAAAGGAATACAACCCTGTCTGTTTCTTTACCAAACGACATTTGTTTCATTCTTAGAACCAAGAACATGAAGAGCCCGTCAGTACATTGAAATCAACAGTGGACACTGACAGTACATTGCCTGCAAATAATAGTTCTAAAGAAAAATAAACTTAGAAAAGGATATCGTAGAAGAGATTTCTATATACAGGAAGATAGCATTTGAGGTTCGGGACCATGTTTTCTTAATTGATGTGAGAACAAGAAAGGAAATGTCATATCTTGATTACTGATTATATGAAGCTAGAAAGTTAAAAATCACATGAATTAATACTAACAGAAGTTCAAAGGCTATTTTATAATCTTGTGTGAGTTAACTTAAATATATTGCTTAATTAATTCTATCATTTTTTCACCTATTAATTGTCAAAGGTGTAGTGCAGGGGGTGGGTGTATGTGCTCTGCCTTCCAGAGAGAACCAGTCAAGACAATAAAGAGAGGGAAAGAGAGCGAGAGCAGCTGCACATGTGTGTAGTTGTGATGTTTACGACAAATGTACATTGTAACTGAACAACCCAGTCTGACAATTTAGTAATTTTTTTTGTTAAGATAAATATTTTGGATTTCTTGAAATTCCACAGCTGAAATACAAATTATACTATTTAGAGAAGTTAAACTTCAATATAGATTTGAGGGAAGAATTAAAAAAATTAATGTAAATAATTCCATTTCTAAAAATATGTTTAGACGCTTGTTTTTGAAATGCTGTTGAAATGTCAATGAAAATGTTCTTGCATTTACACCTTGTGACAATAAAAACATTTTCTAAATTAGAATAATCTTTTATCTTTCATATTTTACATTGAGATTTCACAGGGGTAGAATATTCTGACAGGAGTGAATAATCCCCATCTGTCACCATCTCCTACCCCTGGGACAGAGGACAGGGAAAGATGAGGGCAGCAAAAACCACTAGCTGTCTGGCAGTATTTCTTACCAGCATCATCCTGTGCCAGGGATGGAGCAAACACGGGGAGGGGGGAATCTGTCTGGCTCCTTCCAGCAAGTGGGACCTATTCACCCAGCCTGGGCGGGGGTTGCCAGGTGTCCGGTTCTTGATTGGAACCTCCAGTTGAAAAGGGAAACTGGCAGCGTCCGGTCAGCACAAAAAGTCCAGTTGTCTGCAGCGACTGGCCCCACCACTGGGAGATGGAGGAGCAGCAGCGCTGGGAGGGGCCAGTCTGTGCTGTGGGGGTCACTGTCAGGGACCAAGATTCCCCCCGGCCTGAGCTGGGACCGGGCAGATTTTCAGGGGAGCCGCATTTGTACCCTAAACATAGTAACCAGGACTGAAATAAGGGCGGAGCGTCCCGGAGAAGGTGTCAGTGAAACTGAAGAGATGGGACCTGTCAGTCACATTGTAAAACGAGACCTCGCCCACCTCATAGTCCAGGAAAATCCCCACCCGGCTGGGCCTGATGCTCACTGGGAGGGAGGTCGAGGGGGAGGTGAGGACCTGGTATACCCCACCCCTCAGCCACACGACCCAGTATCCAGCCTCAGGTGTGAGTGTGACCTTCCCCTTCCTGCTCACAGATTCCCTACAAACCCCCAGGTACCAGCCTGTCTTGCCTCCCACCTCCCAGTAACGCCTCCCGCCCGTGAACCCCTCAGCACCCAGGACACAGATATAATGATCGAATCCCTCAGACTTGTTGGGCGGATCCCAGTTTCCGTGTCTCACATGTTTCCGATCCTCAGACAGGACGAGGTTGGGATTTGCCGTGTCTGGATCCAGAGTCACGTCCACTGGGGAGAGAGTCACAGTCAGTGCCAGGGGCAGGGGCTGGTCACTGGGATCAAAGGGAAATTAACCTGCATTCCTGTCGCTCCCCACGGTGCCTGCCCCTTCCCTCGCACCCCCTCCCCCGGCACCTTCCCCTTAGTTCTCCCCCCGCCCCTTCCCTCACCCTCTGCCCCCCTGACACCAGCATCCCTCACCCCCCCTCTAGTGCCCTGGTGCCAGCCCTGCCCTTCACTCTTCCTCTGCCCCCCTGAGTCACATCTCTACCATTGCCCCCATCTGCCTCCATGGTGCCTGCCCCTTCCTTTACCTGCTCTGCCTGCCTGCCTGGTACAAGTCCCCTTCCCTTCCCCCCTTTGAACCCCTGGTGTAAGCCCTTTTTATCACTCCATCTCTGCCCTACTGGTGCTCACCCTTCCCCTCATCCTCCTTCTGCCCCCCTGGTGCCCACATTTCCACACCCCTCTCTCTGCCCCCCTGTGCTCACCTGTTCCCTTGCCCCCAATCTGCCCCCTGGTGCCCATCCACTCTCCTCTCCCTGCATCTGCCCCTCTGCTCAGTCCCCACATCCCTCCTGGTGCCTGCCCCTTCCCTCGCCCCCCTCTGTCTTCCTGGCACCCTCCCCTCATGCCCTTCTCCACTTTTATGACTGTCCCTTTCCTTTGCTCCCCTGTTGCCCCCTGGGGTCTGCCCACCCCTCACGGCCCTCTGGCACCCGCCCTGCACCTCACCCCACTTTCTCCCCTTGTCACCTGCGCCTTCCCCCACACCCTCCTTTTCTTTGGTGACAGCTCCTCCTTCTACCCACCCTCTGCCTTCCCAGTGCCTGCCCCTCTGTTCACCCCTTGTGTCCCCTGGTGCGAGCCCCTTCCCTCTCCCCCTCCTCTGAGCCCCAGTTCCCGTCCCTTCTCCTGCCCGCCTTTTGCCCCTTGAGCCCACCCCTCCCCTCATCTCCCGTCCTGCCCCTCATGCATACTCTATGGCCCTGATGCCTGCCCCTCCTTTTCCCCCTTAACCCCCACCCCCAGTGCCCACCCCTCCCATCATTCCATTCTTCCCCCTGCCCCTCCTCTCACCTTCCTCCACCCACTGGTGACTGCCCCTGCCCCAGCCAGCCCCTCTGCCCCAGCCAGCCCCTCTGCCCCCAGGCTCCTGCCTCACTCCGTGCCATAGAATCATAGAATATCAGGGTTGGAAGAGACCTCAGGAGGTCATCTAGTCCAATCCCCACTCAAAGCAGGACCAACACCAAGTAAATCATCTCAGCCAAGGCTTTGTCAAGCCGGGCCTTAAAAACCTCTAAGGATGGAGATTCCACCACCTCCCTAGGTAACCCGTTCCAGTGCTTCACCACCCTCCTAGTAAAATAGTGTTTCCTGATATCCAACCTAGACCTCCCCCACTGCAACTTGAGACCATTGCTTCTTGTTCTGTCAACTGCCACCACTGAGAACAATCTCGCTCCATCCTCTTTGGAACCCCCCTTCAGGTAGTTGAAGGCTGCTATCAAATCCCCACTCCCCACTCTTCTGTAGACTAAATAACCGCAGTTCCCTTAGCCTCTCCTTGTAAGTCATGTGCCCCAACCCCCTAATCATTTTCGTTGCCGTCCACTGGACTCTCTCCAATTTGTCCACATCCCTTCTGTAGTGGGGGAACCAAAACTGGACACAATACTCCAGATGAAGCCTCACCAGTGTCGAATAGAGGGGAATAATCACTTCCCTCGATCTGCTGGCAATGCTCCTACTAATGCAGCCCAATATGCCGTTAGCCTTCTTGGCAATGAGGGCACACTGCTGACTCATATCCAGCTTCTCATCCACTGTCACCCCTAGGTCCTTGTTCCTGGTGCCTGCCCATTCGCTCCCCCGCACCCATGGTCCTGGCACCTGCCCCACTCCTCATCCCTTCCACCTCCTGGTGTCCACTCCTCTTGCCCCCCCATTGCCCTTGTGCCTGCCCCTCCCTTCTTCTCCTCCCCCTTCTGCTCCTATCACCTGCCCCTCCCCTTTCCCCTCCAAGCATCAGCCTGTCCCCTTCCCCCGCACCGCCACAGACACCTTCCCACCCCCACCCCCACTCCCCCTGCCCTTTCCCGGCTCATTGTCTCCTCACAGGCAGACGGGCCCTGACTCCCCTCAGGGGGGGAGGGTGACCAGACGTCCCTTTTTTAAAGGGACAGTCCTGTATTTAAGCCCTCCTGCCGGTGTCCCGACTTTTTCTTCAAAATGGGCAAATTGTCCCGTATTTTCTGTCTCTGCCCCATCAGTTCTGACGGGTCCTGCTGCTGGCCAGATCCCTGCTCACCAGACGCCCACCCACCAGCGGTGAGGAGGAGGTGGCCAGTGGCTGACGATGGGGGTGGGTTTGCAAGGCTGGTGGTGGGGCGAAGATGCAGAACGCAGGGCTGGACTCTCCCCCTGCTGGTCCACCAGCGCAGCCCCCATTGCGTGCCAGCTCTCAGCCAGCAGGGCCCTGCCCCTGGCCCGTTTCCGGCCAGCGCTGGCTGCTCGCTGCAAGCTGCGGTGGCTGGTGAGTGCAGGCAGGCACCAGGTGGCAGCCGGTTACATGTTGCCCCTGCTTCCCACCCCTCAGCCCTTTACGTGCTCCCACCTCTCGCTGTCCTCTCCCTGCTTTGCCCCTTCCCCCGCCCCCAGCCTCACTGCTCCTCCGTATCTGCTGCCCCCCAGTGGGGCACATCCTGCTCCCAGCACTGTGTGAAGAACCTGCCCCTGATCTGAGCACTCAGCAGCTCACCAGCCACATCACCAGCAGGCTCTTTCCTTCCCCCACTGCCTCTGGCTGGGCCAGCACTCTGGGAACGCCCAAGACCCTCCAGCCCAGGGCACTGGCCAAGAGGAGCCGAGCTCTGCATGTGTCAACCCCACCCCACCCCCGCCCCCAGCACTGGGACAAGGAAGCCTCTCCTCAGCTAAGCTCTGGGGGTGGGAGTGGGGGTGGGGGTGATTTCCAGCCTGTTCACACCCCAAACCTGCAGGCTCCACAGCAGCCCCCAGGGTAGGTTCCTGCCCCCAGGGAGTGCAGAGCGACTCCATCCCCTAGGCACCCTCCCCTGCTGAGCCACCTCTCTGGCCCCATTCGCTGAAGCCCTTGCAATCAAGTTCCCTGGGCCCTGGTGCACAATGCATCCTTAGGGCTTAACCCCTTCCTGCCTGCGCTAAAGTCAGAGGAGGCTGGCTGGGTTATGTCGGTGGCCATCCCCTGCCGTAACCCCTCCCCTCACTGTGGTTATGGATGAATAGAGGCAAGGGCCAAGTGGTACTGTGCAGTCACAGGCACCTGGGAGGCAGAGGCATATGAGGGAAGGGGCAGACCCCAGGGAATCTCTGTTGCTTTGGAGGGGGGATTTCCTCACTTTCTGCCCCCTCCATCTGGGAGAAGGTGCATCGGGTGCCAGTCCCAATCCATACCTGCGCAGCGCGTCTGCACTAGGGGTTTGCACCGGGGCAGCTACATCGGTGCAAGGAAACCCCGGCAGACATGGCCTGAGACACTGCTGTGCAAGAGGCCGTAACCCCTCCCCTCATTGGAGTTCTGGGTTAGTTATTACAGGATCACTGGAGCAGGGCAGCTGGACTCTGGGCTCCAAGGTAGGGTCCGACCCACTGAGCTGCAGAGTCATTCTCACTCCCACGCTCTGGACCAGGGCCCATGGCAGTGTTTAGACACAGGGGGGTGTCTTCAGCAGGAGAGATTGAGGTAGCCCCACGTCAGACACCCAGAACCCAGCGGTTCCAGCCCTCACCTGAGGGGAGGAGACCCACATTCCAATTCCCACCCCACATCACACAAGGGGCACCTTTTTCTGTTCATTGAAACTAGTTAGCAAACTCAACATGGATTCAGGAAGAGTATCAATCGAACCAAAAATATAAACTATTTCTCCAAAACATTTCTCCCAGCCCCACTTCAAACCTGTCTGAGCAACTTAGGAGTCCAAACTCCAGAGACTTGCAGTGAGTGACTGTCAATATCCCCAGAAACACACAGTTATGGGCAGGCCATGCTCAGGGCATCAGCTATGAAACACTCCAGAGCTGCTGTTAAATTTGCCCTAGGTAGAAAAATGCCCCCCTCCAGACCCTGATCTCACCCCTACATCAGGCTGAAAATGGAGACTTGGCTCCAGCCTGAACTCTCTGACAGGAGAGATTTGTCCCATGGACTCTGCGAGTGGCACAGACTCTCTGTAGATGAACCTAGGTGTCTCCCAGAGTGGATAATGGTCCCAGAGACCGTCTCAGAGCCCCAAGGCTCAGGTGTCTCCATCTAACGACAGCACCAGCCACCCCCCTCACTCTCATTAACTGGCCCTGTGTCAGACACACTGGGAACTTTCAAACCCAGACTCTGGAGACACTTTGGGTTCGTCTACACAGCCCGCAGCAGCGAGCTCGGTCCACAGACTGAGGTTTCTGGGGCTCCTGCTATGGCGCTAAAAACAGCCGTACAGACCTTCTGACTCAGTCTGAATTTCGGGCTCTTAAGCCCAGGGAGCAGGGGGGGCTTCAAACCCAAGCTCCAGCCCCAGACACAACATCTACACAGCTGTGTTTACTGCTGTAGTACAAACTGCAAGAGCCAAAGTCTGTCACCCCGGCTCTGAGACTCGCCCAGGAGGGCTGACAGAGCAGCACGGCACAGACATCTTCCATGGCTGTGGGACATTCACTCTCCCAAGCTGATGTCTGGAGGGCCAGCAACAGCCAAGGGTGTTCCAGGCACCCACAATGACGTACTGCAGAGGGCCAGTGACTGGAAAGAGTCACCCTGACCCACCGAAGACAGGGCTGGTCCAATACTGTGCACTGACTGTGGGCAGGATGGGCACATAAGATGGGGCTGCCTTCAGGAGCAAGGATGGTTACTCTGACCTGATTTCTCAGAACACTTAGGGAACAGGGGAGTCCCAGGTTATTAAAGACACCCTGCCATGGGGAGGTCAGGCCCAGGACTGTGAGAACCCCATTTTGGGCTGGAA